GCCTTTTTTGCTTCAACTAAAGCTAATAGATTCTGGTTCATCCTGTTACCTTTACCCTGTGTGTCTCTCTGCTTAAGTGTGTTTGTTGTAGACAACATATTGTAGGATTCTGGTTTTTGATCCACTCTGCTATCAGCTTTCATTTTATGGAAGAGTTCATCCCATTAACATTCACTGTTATGATTCCTGTGTATTTCCCTCCATCCTGTTTTTCCTCCTGTTTGTCTTCTCTGTCCTCTCTCTCCTTTCACCCTTTTCCTCTTGACAGTGTTTTGCTTCTGTCTGCCACTTCCCCTGGTCTGACCTCTCTTCTGTCACTGTCTGTCTGTCCATCTCTCTCTTTCTCTCCCTGTCCCCTCTTCCCCTCCAACCCACTTTATTTAATCTCCTCCCCTCCTACTTTCCTGTCTTTCTCTCCACTCTAATAGTGTTATTGTACCTCTTCATGAGAAATTATTTACCCCATTCTACTTCTTCCTTCCTTCTGCACCCAGTGTACTCCTCTTTCTCATCCTTTAAGTTATTTTTTTATGTCAGTCCCTTAAATTCACCTTATACCTGTACCTTCTATCTATGTGTATTCTTTCTAACTGTACTATTAGTGGTATAATTTTTTTTTCTTGAGATTAAGTGATTTGCCCAGGGTCACACAGTTAGTAAGTGTGAAGTGTCTGAGGCCGGATTTGAACTCGGGTCCTCCTGACTCCAGGACTGGTGCTCTATCCACTGTGCCACTTCGCTTCCCAGTGGTATAATTTCTAATAATTACAAGTGTCATCTTCCTATGTAGAGATGTAAACAGTTCAGCTCCATTGAATCCCTTATTTTTTTTCCCCCCTTTTTACTTTTTAGGCTTCTCTTGGGTCTTGATATTGCAGATCAGTTTTTTTTGTTCAGTTCTGGTCTTCTTATGAAAGCGTGAAATCCCTTTATTTCATGGAATGAACAGTTTTTCCCTTGAAGTATTAAGTTTAATTTTGCTGAGTAGGTGATTCTTGGTTGTATTCCTAGCTGCTTTGCCTTCCGGAATATCATGTTCCATGACCTCCAATCCCTTTAATGTTACAGCTACTAAGTCCTGTGGCTCCCTGATATTTGAGTTTTTCCTATCTGGCCACTTGAAGTATTTTTTCCTTGACTTAATAGTTCTGAAATTTGGCTATAATGTTCTTTGTAGTTTTTATTTTAGGATCTCTTTTCTGAGGCGATCAGTGGATTCTTTCAATGCCTATTTTGCTGTCAGGTTCTAGGATATCAGTGTAATTTTTCTTGATAATTTCTTGAAAGATCCTGTCCAGGTCCTCCTTTTGATTGTGGCTTTCAGGTAGATCAGTGATTGTGAGATTAACTCTCTTGGATCTATTTTCCAGGTTAGCCATTTTTTCCATGAGGTATTTTACATTTTCTTCTATTTTTTCATTCTTTTGAATTTGTTTGATTGATTCTTGATGTCTTCTACAGTCATTAGTTTCCACCTGCCCAATTCTGAATCTCCTTTTCCATTTGGCCAATTCTACTTTTTAAGCAGTTGTTTTCTTTTCCGAGCTGTTCACTCCTTTTTCATAATTCTCTTGCCTCGCCCTCATTTCTTTTCCCACTTTTTCTTCTACCTTCCGTATACAATTTTTAAGCTCCTTTTGGAGCTCTTCCATGAGTTCTTTCTGGGCTTGAGACCACTTCTCATTTCTCTTTGGGGTTTTTTCCATAGGTGTTTTGACATTATTGTCCTCTTCTGAGTTTGTGTCTTGAGCTTCCCTGTCACCATAATAACTTTCTATGGTCAGATTCTTTTTTTGTTGTTGTTTTTACTTATCTTTTTTGGCCTTTTCCTTTCATAGCCTTTTTCTTTTTCAATTTGAGTTCTGCTCCCGGGGTAGAAGAGGCACTGTTTCAGGCTTTTTGTGATATACCCATTCTTAAAACCATAGAATTTAAAACAATAAAATAGAGCAGTGAAACTTTCCAGGTTTAAAATGCTTGATTTCCTCTACACCATTTGCAGTTGCAGTATCTCAAACAGTTATTAAAGGTGCTTTTAAAAACCTATCACTTGGGGCAGCTAGGTGGCGCAGTGGATAGACCACCTGCCCTGAAGTCAAGAGGACCTGAGTTCAAATCCAGCCTCAGACCAAACACTTGACACTTACTAGCTGTGTGACCCTGGGCAAGTCACTTAACCACAATTGCCTTAAAAAAAAAACTATCACTTATACACATTTCCTTGGAGTAATACCAATTTAAAAAAAACACATAGATTTTAAAACACCCTAATAGGGAGCAATTAAATAGGACAAGTCTCAACCAATTAAAAGAACCAGCCCCAATCCAGTTTTCATCTGGTCTGGATGTCACCTTAGTAAGCACAGTGATTATTGTTGTCACAAATTGAGCTCCATATCAAAGTAATTGCTTGTCACAAGTAATTCACACACCACTGTACATCAGGAATTTGATGTTTCTGGTGGGGAAAGCCAAATTTCATATTAAAATATAATTGTCATAATTCCTAGAAACTTCCTTGATAGTGTAGGTAAGTTTAAAAATAGCAGTGAAGCAAAATGTAGACTGGTTTGTCTCCTGTGATCCGTTTTGAGGGGAAGAGGGAAGAATTGAGGTGTGAAGTAATCGGTTAGCAAGAATTTGTTAAGCTTCCATCATATGGTGGGCACAGGCAAGATAAGCACAAAATTTCAATTCTTGCCCTCAAGGGACTTTAACTTTCTATCATAAGTAAAAATTGGAGGACTCTGAAATGTACCCCCAGACTGAACCTCTTGGTCTATTCATCCCCATTTTAATTTTTTTCTGAAAATGACATTGTCCTTGGAGAATTTTCAAAATAGAACTTAATATTTATTTTCCTCAATTATAATAGTTCATCATCCAAAAAGAAATATATTCTAATAGCCTTAATAACTAGTTTATTCTTTCTGTGTAAGTTTTGATTTTTGACTGTTGTAGGTTTCTTGAAAATTTTTAGTATGTGCTTTTGTCTTCTCTTATTTACCTCTATGAAACCAGTTTAAATGGTGCTTCAGTTGCTTTGTCATAAAGGTCCTTGGCACTGGCAAGAAATTAGTTATGGTCCCTTCCTGGAATCTTAAAATTGAAGGCCATGGGAGTGTGGATGCTAAAGAGAAGAATCTTATTTCAGGAAGCAGAAGTGTGTCAGCAGCAGCTAGATGGTCGCACTTGTGGCTTCTGGTCAAATTCCTGTCTCTAGCAGAAATGCCTTGAACCTTCTTTTCCTCCCTATGTCTCACTTGTAGACACTTCCGGAGCTTAGAGAATGAAGCTGCTAAGATGTCAGTCTGTTCATAATTAATTGGGTATCTGTCGAGAATTGGTTCATATAAAGACTTAGAATCACACAAATGGGAGCATATCCTAAGGAAAACAAGATTTTAGAGATGGACAGGAATGCATTTTATATGCCACCTGATAAATACAGCCTCCAGTTGAATACCTCTGGTTTCCTTTGCCTTTACTTGCACTGTCACCCCCTCTTCCCTGTCCCCATTTCTCCTGGCTGTCGGAAAGTAATGAGCCAAGGGGAAAATGTTCTCTTCCACCTTGCTTTCACCCCTTCCCAAACTCCAGGCTGCCTAGACCCCATGGCTCCCTGAAAAGCCAGCAGATTGCCCTGACCTTTTGCCTTCCCTTTACTGTTCCTCCCCAAGTAGCCTGGTAGAACTGATAAATTTAGATACATCGTTAGACTGGTTTAATTTTGTCATGTCTACCTGTTGTCCAACCTGTACCAAGGATGCTGAAATTTTGTTGGGATTTTCAATTTTATTTAATGGGATAGGTGACAGTTCAGGCTGAACCTTTGAAGATGATTCCTGAAGGTTCTGAGAGTAGTTACATAGTGTTTTAATAACTTGAGTTGATCATTTGCCTCCGGGGTAATGGATTTTAGTAGGTCTTTTTGACCTTACCAAAAATGATAGGTTGTTTAAGGAAAAGGAATCAGAATACTTGACAAGAAGGCCTTCTCTGTAAATGATACAGATAGGTAGGTAGATACTGGGCAGGTCTTTCTGGCCCTTTCATCAATAATCTGAGAATTTATTGAATGAAATGATTCATCTTGGTTTTATAATATTCTGATATCTTGTCCCAAAAGGTTAGGTAGCATGGACATCGAAAGGATAGTAGACCTGGAGAGGCAGGTTTTTGACAAATAACTCTGATACTTGACTTGAGAATTAGGCCAAGCCATTGAACCTCTTTAAAGCTTGGTTTTACTTCTACAAAATGATGAGGTTGGACCAGATGTGCTCTGAGATTGCTCTGACCTCTAAATGTATTAGCCTGTGATCCTGTCATTATAGAGCACCACCTTGATCTTGGCACTCACTGGGGGCACACAGTAAGTATTAGGGGGGAATAGCAAGAGGCACCTCAAAACGAACAGTGAGTGACCACAGCGTCCAAGCATGGACCGTGCCAAGCAGGAAACAGTTTGGTATCACTGAGCACACTAAGAAGCCAGGATCCTTTCCTTAGTATAAATGGTCTACTTAACTCATTGGGAAATTTTTTTTCCCCCAGAAAGAACACATGAGGTTATAGGTTATTAAAAATAGAGATTCTTAGTGATCTTTAATCACCTCATTGGGCAGATGAACCCAGAGGGGGGAAAGTGGCATATCTCAGACTACATATAGCTAATTAGTGGTAGATCCAGAGTCCTTCCAGAAAAACTGTCATTTCCTGTCCAGTTGTCTTTATACCACTCTCCTTCCCAAAGTCTATTTTAAAATAGAATATTATATATAAAATTATATTTTATCTTTTACCTCAAGTATCAGCTGTCTGACCGTAACCTTTTATTTTTCTGGTCTCTGATCTCGTCTCGTCAAGCTTCCCCTGCAGTTTTTTGGGTGATTAGGTATAATCCCAGGAATACAGTTGAAATTGCTATAGCCAGTGTATGCTTGTTTTGACCAGTTTTGAACTAAGAGTCCTCATCCATTGACCTCTTTTGCCCTCAGATCACTCAGGAGGCTGGCGAGTTTATGATTACTTTTCCCTATGGATACCATGCAGGATTCAATCATGGCTTCAACTGTGCTGAGTCAACTAATTTTGCCACACTGCGGTGGATTGATTATGGCAAGATGGCTACTCAGGTAAGCACCTCACGAAAGGGCTTTAATCAAAACTTACTTTAACTCTGATGTTCTGGCGGATGCGGCTGGAATGAGACCTGAACTTGGACACAAAAAATCTGGGCTATAATTCTGGCTCTGTATGAGCCAGAACATACTAGCCATGTGAATTTGGGCAAGTCGTTTCCTTCACCATGAGCCTCAATTTCCTCTTCTTTAAAATGGGGACAATACTTGTAATACTTGTGTGCCTGGCAGGGCCCTTTTGAAAATCAAATGAACGCATATTTTAGAGGACTTTGTAAAACGGAAAGCTCTATATAAACATCAGGCATTCTTCTTGTCCTAGGAGTATGAGCCTGGGAATGCTGCCAAAAACTGAGAAGGGTGTGCATGGTGTTTGTTCTGTTCCAGGAATTGGGCTCAGATGGTACCTCTGAAATCTGCATAGAAATTGTGCTGCGTGTGGCTTTTCTTAAGGTTTTCAAACAGTTTGCTCCCTGAGTTGTGGTGAGGATATGCATGAGGATTTGTTGTTTTGCAGAGACCAAGATAACTGCCCCTTCCTTTTGTCCTTTGGTTTTCATTAAGTACCCAGAGGAGAAACTTTCCCATTTGTTCTTTTCCCTCTCCCCTGACATGGATGGTCTCAGTATTCCTAACCATTCCCTCCCTTCCTCCCTCTGACCTAGTCACCTTTAAAGTTTTTCTTTTTTCTGTTTGCCATCTTCTCCCAGCCAGGCCACCCTGAGCAGGGCCTCTATATCAGGCTCAGGTTGCTCCTACCTCTTTGTGGTAGGACAGCTATTCAGTGTTTGATACCATTCCTCAAACTGTGAGAAGTTATGTGCATTATTGATATGTCTCAGGGCCTAGGAATTGGAGAAATGTGATTTTTGACTCTCACTTGAGCTTCTGGTTACATCTGGTTACAGCAACTTGTCAAAGCAGAAAGATCAGAATTTTCAGAGCAAGCCCTATGTCCAATTCTGGCCCCACTGGTCCCTCCCTTTGGGCAGATCACTTAACCTCCCTGGGCCCTCACTTGGTTTGTAAATTGAAGAGTGAACTAGGTGACCTGAGGCTCCTCACAAAGCTGTGATTCTGTGATCACTTGTTGAGAATCAGCTTTCTTTATGCAAATCCCTTTATTCTCCTTTACCACCCTTCCCTCCTCCTTCCTTCTTCTATACCTTCTTTTCCTCTCTTTTCCTCACCACTTTTCTCTCCTCCTTCCTATAATTTCTAATGTAAATTTCTTGCTTCCAATACATAAAAACAGAGATTATATGCATTTTGATTTAACAAATGAGAAATAGCAAACTCTAACAATAATTTAAGATTTTAGGACTTGAGAATTGAAAAGAGCCTTATTGTTGTTCAATCGTTTTTCAGTCTTGTCTGATGATCCCATTTGGGGTCTTCTTGGCAAAGATACTGGAGTAGTTTGCCATTTCCTTCTCCAGCTCATTTTACCGTTGAGGAAACTGTGTCAGACAAGGTTAAGTGACTTGCCCAGGGTCACACAGCTAGTAAATTTAAGATTTTAAGACTTCAGAATTGGAAGGAACCTTAGAGACCATATATCCTAACCCTAGCATTTTGCAGATGAAGAAAACTGAGATCTCAAGATTTTAAAGTGATTTAGCCAATATTACACATCTTTAAGCAGCAGGTCTTCGAGGAGTCAAGGCCTCTGACTCCAAGTCAAATGGTCTTTCTTCTATATTATGTTGCCTTTGTTGCTTGTGAACTTTTGAGTTCTATCTGTGGATCTAAAGTTTGATACATTTATATTTTTTATATTCATATTTTATATATTGTCTTTCTGTTTTTGCTATCTTGTCATTGTCCTTCCTCACTTCTTAGTATCTTTCCCTTGTCATTATATATGACATAATTGTATTCCATTATATTAAGATTCCACAACCGATTCAGCCATGTCTCTTTAAACAATTGTAAATCTCCTCTAGATTTTTTTCCTGTTCTTTGTCTTGATCTCTTTTCTTTGTTCCATTCTATATTCTACATTGTTTCTCTTATTAATATATATGGCAGATCTCCTTATCCTAATGATGTTTTAAGCTCTTACAGGTTAGAGATGCTGTCATAGGATTATAGAATTTTGAGCCAGAAGAAACACTATAGATCATAAAATACACCCTTCACATTTTACAGGTGAAGAAAAGTAGGCCCAGAGAATTTAAGTGACTTAAAGTCAGACAGAACCAAGATCTGAGCCCAGGTCTTCTGATTTCCAAATCTAGTGTTTTTCCTACTGTTATTGTTGTTGTTCAGTCATTTCAGTTGTGTCTGACTCTTCGTGACCCCATTTGATATTTTCTTGGCAAACACAGTGGCGTCGTTTGCCATTTCCTTCTCCAGCTCATTTTACAGATGAAGAAACTGAGACAAACAAGGTTAAGTGACTTGCCGAGAGTCACGCAGCAAGTGTTTGAGGCTAGTTTTGAACTCAGATCCTCCTGACTTCAGGCCCAGCACTCTATCCACTGTGCCACATAGTTCTTTCTACTGTACCATGTTGTTTTCATTTTTGTATCCCCAGTGTTTAGTTTGGTGCCTTGCCACAAAGGAGTCACATAATAAAAGTTTGAATTGAATTATTGAGTTGTCATGCTGAACGTGTTACTTACTTTTCCTTCCTCCTGGTTTAGAACATTTGGTAGTAGTAGTGAAGCTGGCAGGTATCAGCTTTACCATATCAAATCCTATGGTTTTTCATGACTAAGCAGTTCTTTCTATCTCTTTAGGCAACTGAAAGGTGAAGTTATTGCCTCATTTATTTTCCAATAATTTGCTCTGCATGGTCCTAGGGGCCCTATTATTAGCCAACACATTTTAAGTTTGAATTCTGTGCTTGCTCAAAAACACATTTTTCTAAACTTTGTAAGCATAAATCTTTACAACTTCTTATTGACAGTTTGGGGGGTGTATGAAACCACTTGATGGGAATTCCGTTGAGAGCTGATCTTAACTTGGAACATGAGGAGAAGTTATCATCCTGCCTTGTCTTGTCTTTTTGACAGACTTTGCTCTAGGCCCTGCTCTCCTGCTGTTGTTTTCTAGTGCTGGGCAAGAAGAATGTTTATGAATTGTGTGTGTATGTGCCAGAAAGATTAGCTGGTAGGCCAATAATTATAAATCCTACGGGGAAAAACAAGGAAAAAAGAAGGAACCCTCTGAGATGCATGGCTACTATTCTGAGTTGATCTCTAGGTTGAGAATTCAATACATATTAAACTGATAGATAGTATGCTTTCTCTGGTCCCCATATATCATGAATAGGAATCTTCCATGCCAGCATTCATGACTGGTCTTATTCTCTGCCCATGGCTGAAGTAAAATATTTTTGAGACATATATGGCATTTCTCCATAAGTAACTAGGGCTAGAGAGAGAGTCATTGTAGCCATTGGGAAGGTCTGTGTGTGGCTATTTGTGCTGTACTCCCAGTTGTTTGTCATAGAATGCCAATGATAGTGGCACAGTACAGGGAGAGACACTGTTTACCAAGTTTCCCATTCTTGTTGTCCACATTGGTTTTCGGTCCTTGCCAAAGGCTAATCTGATTAGCTTTTCCTGTCTTATTATGATCCCAGAAATGTTACTCATACCAAACTGACCATGTCCCTCCTACTGTCGTCTGGTTCCCATGCAAATATCATGTTTAAACTTCTACCATGTTTTCCCCTAATGCAGGATCCTTATGTTTCTCCAGGCATGCCCCACATTGCCTCTTTTATGTCTTCTGCCAAATAAAGACTTAAAAAAATTTGAGGATATACTAATTTTTGAGGCAGGTCACAAATTGTATAATGTGGGTGAGTAGACTTTGACAAACAAAGAGGGTGGTTATCTTCTGTGTAAGTAGAATAATGTGCTAGGCACTGGGGGAGGTTCAGGGTTTAGAAAGACAGTCCCTGCCCTCATGGAGCATTGTACTGTACTCTGGCAATATGATTAATATAAAGATCACTCAGAGAGCTGAAATAACTCATTTAAACAGCACTAAATTGCCTACTGTGTACCATGTACCATGCTAGGTATTTGGGGGGACAAAGACAGTGACACAGTCCCTACTCTTAAGGAGCTTATAGTCTAATCAAGGGACACAGCATGTAGACATATACAAAGTAGATACAAGATCATGTTGAAGCAGAGATTTTCCTAACTCTGTGTACATTCTGTGTGTGGGCAGCCACCAGGACAAAAGAATGAAGACGGGAGGTAGAGTGCCATATGGGAGATGGGCTGGGACCAGATTTTGAAGGGCTTTCTTTGGCAGTTCTGTGGAGGATAGAGACTTTAGACAGGGGGTTCAATTAGGTGGCTGTTGCAGTAGACCTTGTAACTTGTATGACTAGGACTTGTGTGAGTACAGTACTGTGTGACCATGTGAGTGGAGAGGAGATGGATGTGACAGGTGCTATGTAAATAGCAATGACAAGGCTTAGGCTTGGAGAGGCTAGTAACACTCAAATGTTCCATTTCCCATACTGACACAGAAGTTTTGTGGGATCTTCTTCATACTGCTCAGTGGCTCTGCCACTGTCTAATATTACATTGTATTACATGATTGGGGGCAGCAACCAGCAGCATGCACTGGCAGCTAAGCTCAAGGAGGCAATCCCCTGAGTCACCCATACAAGCTCAGACAATTGCTGATCATCTAATTTGGATCTTGACCAATTCCTGGACCACAGTGTGGCAAGAATGGTTTGGCTAGAAGATCAGTGTTTGTTCAGGCAATGTTGTATGAGGTATATCTTTAATTCACTGAGCCCCCACCACTCTCAGTTCAAAGAATAGTAAATCTCTCTCATCTAATAACTACTTGTTTTTTAAATCAGCTAATACAGTTTTCTCATTTTCTCTATGGGAGGGCTTGAGCCCCCAGAGGAAGGATGTGATTGACTCAAAATCATTATATATTATGAGTTTATGGCATAGCACAGACCAGGACCTGGGTGACCTGACTCTTTGTCTAGAATTCGGTCACAG